AGGAGGAGGAGGAGAAAAATAAGAGGGAGGAGGAGGAGGAGAGGAAGAAGAAGAGGACAAGGAGGAGGAGGAGGAGGAGGGGGCTGCTTGCTGCCAGGGGTTGCCACACAAGGTTGCCACGCAACGTTCGCCCCCATCCGGCACGGCTGCTGCTTCCCTGCGGGATTTCAGCCGCCCCTGGAATGCGACGGGCCAACTTGACATCCAGACAGAGGCTCGCTTGTTCTCTCCGGGATGTTTCCAACCCCCCCCCCCCCACACACACACTGCCTCCCCCCATATGCTTTTGGGGGGGGGGGCGGGGAGCTTTCAATGGGGCTGAGAAGGGAACTGCGCCCCCCACGACTGGGAAAATTGGCTTTCTCAACCTTGGCTGAGAAATCCGACTGAGTTAAAGTCGATTAAAAGTGCCGGTAAACCGGATTTTCAAAAAAGGAAAAAAAAAAAAAAGGGAGAATCCCCGCGACCTAGGGACACAGCGACCGTCGTAAGTATGAAGCGGCTGACGAGCATTCTGAATTTTGATCACATGACCGTGGGGAAGGCCACAGAGGTCGTAAGTGTGGAAAAACGGGTCGTAAGTTGCTTTTTTCCCGGTGCCGTTGTAACTTTGAACAGACACTAAACAAACTACCTAGTCCTCGACTTACGACAGTTTATTTAGCGACCATTCACAATAGAACGGCACTGAAATGTGGGACTTACGACCGTTTTTCACACTTACCTTCCTGGGATCGCGTGCTCAAAATGCTTGATCTCGTACTTATGACGGTCGTAGTGTTCCAGGATCCCCTTTTGCAGCCTTCTCACAAGCCAAATCAAAGGGGGGGGGGAGCCAGATTCACTTAACAACTGTGTGACTCACTTAACAACTGCAGGGATTCGCTTAATGACAGAAAGTCCATCAAATGGCTCAAAGCTCAAAACTGTTTCACTTAGCGAGAGACTTTTGGGCTCACTAACTGTAGTTTAATTCAGTAGGGAGTTTGGGGTTGGTAATATATATATATATTTTAATGAGATATATCTTTTTTTTAAACAATGAGATAGATCACAGAATATATCTGGGTGAAAAGATGGATAAATGGAATTCTAACTCTGCTTTTTCTTAGTTTTTTGTAATTCTTCCAAGCTGAGGGCTGTCCCAGTCTTAAACTGGTTTGCAAACCAGCAAACATCTCTGCAGAAAATAGATAGACATTTCTGCTTTTATCTCTTTTCCTGTCCACGTTATATGTATTTTGGCAAGCTGGGTTTTTTTTTTTCTTTTTCTTTCCCCTAGCGGATTCTGCTAGGCAGTATTGTTTTCCACTTATTTGACTCCGCTAATTGTGATTAATAGATTAAAAAGTAACACAAACACACATCACTTGATGGATGAACTCGCTCCATGTAACTTAGTTGGAGATAATTAGGTTGTGTGCATCAGAAGAAATCCATCCAATAGGCACAAGTTAAAAAGAGAATATTTGGGGGAAAACAGGTACAAGAAAACTTAGGAATTCTTGTGTGGAGCATTCCCCAAGATAAGTGCAAAAGGACCAGCTTGGGTTTTGAAAATGAAAAGTTAGAGAAATTTCAGAAAAGAGGGGAAATAATTAAAAAAAAAAACAACCCAGCTACAGGTAGATCTTTCTTCCTGAATGTTCAGCATTTGGAAAAGGTTGAAAAAAGAAAAGAAATAAAAATACAAATGGAAGAAACCCCTGTCTGAACGAACTGTGAGGTTTTCCTGACATACATTTAGACAAACCGTGATTTGACCGTGTTCAAAACTGCTAACAAACATCAGATTTTATTGCAGGCATCAACCACAGCAGGGAAAAATGAATTTCCTTCCTCAGCAACATGAAATGTAATTATTTCTTTTTAGCCACTAAAAAGATCCTCAAACACCGGAGCGTTGACAGCTGAGCTAGCCGGGAAAAACAACTTAGCAGAGTTATACTCTGAGTCTGGATAGGGATTTTCCAAATCACTGGGTCAGCTGATCACTACTTCATGGTACCTGTTAAGACACACAACTGCAGCTAGGATAGGTTTGGTCAAGGGTATTGCTGAGTTTTGTGGGCAAAGCTAGAAAACCGGCGCATGCACAGAAATATCTTTAGGACTGATTTTTTAAAAAAAGGTATACCTGATTATACAGAAGTACCTGTGTTTTATTGGGCAGGCCCATAGATGAATTTCCTAAAAGGCAACTGGACTTTCTTGTTGTTCTTTTCCTCGAAGAGGTTTCGCTTCTCGTCTAAGAAGCTTCTTCGGTTTCTGACTTCGGTTCGAACGACGTCAGTTCGAACCGAAGAAGCTTCTTGGGTGAGAAGCGAAACCTTTTCAAAGATCTATCCAATCTTTATGTCTATGGAGATTCTCTGTTGTCCAGCTCATGTACTTTTTTTTTCCTCAAGAGGCAACCGGACTTTCTGGGTTTTTTTCTCTGAAGAGGTTTCACTTCTCATCCCAGAAGCTTATTCAGTTCTTCGGTCCGAACTTCTTCAGTTAGAACTGAAGAAGCTTCTGGGATGAGAAGTGAAACCTTTTCAAGGAAAAAAAGACACCAAGAAAATCCAGTTGTCTTTTGGAAATACACCTTTGGGACAATGTTGACCTGGATGTTGGGGAATCTCCACAGACAGAAAATTGGGTAGATCAGTTCAAACACCAGAGAAACTGGGCACTGTTGGTTTTTCCTTCCGTAAGGACAAGTCAACCATCTCATCTGGAAGGGAATCTTAATTCTAGAGAGGTTTGCACACCTGAGGCTCCAGGGCTACTCACCTTACCACAAACGTCGTTGACCGCTACGTGAACGAAGACGGAAGCTTCCTCCATACCTTCCAGGTAGACATGTCGATAGCCTGGAAGCAAGGAAAGTGGGGTGAATGATGGCTTCTTCTCATCTCCTTGAGCCCAAATCTCCCGATCTCCCCCCACCCACCCAATTTCTGGTTGGAGAGGAATTCTGACTGTCGGGAGAAGAAAGAGGAAGGAGAGTAGAGGAAAGTTAAGAATTTATAGCAATAGGGAGAGGTCAAAAAAAAATGTGTGGCCAATGAACAGCAAGAGAAGGATGAGAAAAGAAGAAGCATAGAACAGACAAACATATCTTCAGGTTAAGGATAAATTATCCATTATTAAAAAAACAGTTGTACATATCTAGTGCAATAATAATTACAATTAGAGTTATAATTAATTCAAATTTCTTACTATAATATCCGTGACTCTATTCTTATTGCGAGGAAATGCAGGGAAAAACAAGCAACGGTGTACAAACAGGTCCGTCTTACCTGGCATCATGGATGTGAATGCGATTGTTCTCTGGCCGATAAAATCCCTCCCGATGGGATCGTGGTCCCAGACCAGGAAGCGCACCAGAGCAATCTCTGGCATGCCGATGTTGAAAACCAGGGTTTCCTCCCACATCGGATTGAAACCTGCAGGACCAAGAGGCAGGAGAATGGGCCTTCCTAGGTGTCACCTACTGACCAGTCTCTGGCGATGGGTGGGTTTCCCCCAGCCAGCCACCGATAGACGTGTGCAGACTTCAACTCCCAGAATTCCCCAGCCAGCCACACATAGCTATAGATTCCAGAAAGAAGAGGGGACTGACTTACTCTTCGAAGCACCAGAAGGCATACAGCCGTGATGGCAAACCTATGGCACGTATGCCACAGGCGGCACGCAGAGCCGTTCGTGAGCTGCCGGCAAACTTACCTCACTGAGCATCCGCGTGCCTCACAGCTGATTTTGGGGCGGTTTGAGGCCTTTTTCGGCCTCCCAAAGGCTTGAGGAAGGCTTCTGCGGGCCGAAAACTAGCCCCGTTTCGTCACTTCCTGTTTTTCCGAAAATACCGGAAGTGACAAAACGGGCCTAGTTTTCAGCCTGCAAAGCCTGCAGAAGCCTTCCTCAAGCCTCTGGAAGGCCGAAAAAGGATTCAAGCTGGCCAAAAATCAGCTTTATGTTTTATGTTTTTTGGAGTAAAATAAAAATAGGAAGTGGGGAAAAAAAAAAACTTTAGAAGGAACTTCCAGAAAGAAAGAAAGAAACAAAAAGAAACAGAAAACAAAGACACTGCAGGGAGAAAAGTGCATTTTTAATGTCTTGTTCGCTTTGTTTCTTTTCGTTTGTTTGTTTCTGTTAAAAAAAAAAGAGTTCGGAGTTATTTATTTTTGAGAATAAAATATCAAGTGAAAAAAAAAAAGAAAAGAAAAAGAAAAAAGGAGGAACTTTCTTGAGGCCACCAGCTGCTCCAACATGGAAGCAAAGTTGCTTCGAGGTTGTCAGGTGCCCAACAATTTCTCCAGCAGATGCTAAGCAGCCAACCGTCAACCGTTCTGCGTGGATAAGCGACTGGATGAAATGAATGCGTGGTGGTTGCCATCCATCCTAGGGATTCTAGCTGCAAAATTGTCCTTGGCCTTATAGCGATGGCAGGAAAGAGAGAGAGAAAAAATTAAGGATTGGGAAGCCATACCGTTGTCGTCCACAACTCTGGTTTGCTCTTTGCAACAATCCATGGGCAATCCGATCACCTCGACTTCCACAAACGGATCTATGATCTGGAAAAGAGGCGAAATAAATAAAATAGGATCAGAGACTCTAGAAAAAAATGCAGAGAAGAACCACCAGGGTGATTACGGGACTGGAGGCTAAAACATATGATGAACGATTGCAGGAACTGGGCATGGCTAGTCTAGAGAAGGACCAGGGGAGACAGGATAGCAGGCTTCCAGTATTTGAGGGGCTGCCCCAGAGAGGAGGAAGGGGTCAAGCTATTTTTCCAAGGAACCTTTGAAGGCCAGACAAGGAATAATGGGTGGAAACTGAGAGAGAGATTCAACCTGGAAATAAGGAGGAATCTCCTTGACAGGGAGAACAATCAACCCATGGAACAGAAGTTGCCTTCGGAAGTTGTGGGAGCTTCATCCCTGGAGGCTTTCAAGAAGAGACTGGACTGTCACCTGTCAGAAATGGTGTAGGGTGTCCTGTTTGAGTAGGGGGTTGGAGTAGATGACCTACAAGGTCCCTTCCAACTCTGTTAATGTTTGATCTGGAGAAGGACCAAACTTCTCTCTCTCTCACACACACACACACGTACACACACAAAGAGGGAGAGAGAGAGATTTTCAAATTGCCCTGAAGACATCATCTTGTCTTCAAATTAACAAAACCAATTCATGGAAGAAGAAGAAGAAGAAGAAGAAAAAGAGCGAACTTGGAGCAAACCAGACATTTTCACGACGGGTACAAAAGCAGGGACTTTCTCAGGGTATACGTAGTCCATCGATGTGGAGCGGCACAATGGGAAACTGGGAGGGTTTTTATTCAGAATCGAAATACTTTTTTCGTCTGAGTCAGCCTTCAGAAGAGAAAAGAGTTTATCTGGATCCACGACAACACATCATCCCGTACGTGTCATGGCCTACCGGTCCCCATCTTGGGGACTCAAATGCAAGAAAATCCCCACTGCAAGAAAGGATGATTAAAGACGGAAACTCAACGCTATTTTATTTTTTATTCCTGGACAGGCCAATTAACGGCTGGGAAGAAAGGAACCACCCACAAGGATTATGCTGCAGCCCCCAACTAAAAAAATAACAACAAAAAAAACCCCCATACACAGAGAAAAACACACAATCCTTTGCTCGAAGGCCAAATAAATCCTGCTTAAGGGATGCGGGGAAGAGGGGAAGAATTTGGAATAGCGCCCGCACCGTTCTGACAGGCTCCCTCCAACGAAAAGCCATCGGTCTTGGCTGACAACTCAACGGCTTAATGTTGTTTTACAGGGAGATTTGGGGGCTGGGAGGTTTATTTATTTATTTTGCAGTGTCCAGTTCCCCCCCCCACCCCACCCCGCCGGCTCCTTCCAAGGAAGGTCTGGTGAATGGAGGCCTGTCCCTTTGATGGAGGGTCTTGGCGGCTCTTTCCTGGCTCCCTCCCTCCCCAGAGGCACCCTGGGGACAATAAAGCCAGTTCTGGTTTGCACAAAGGAGGAACTAGCCAAGCACCTGCTAACCCCCCCACCCCCTCCAGGGACGGGTTGTGTAATCTTTCTTTTAAAACAACAACAACAAAAAAACCACACACACACACACACACACACACAAAAACGAGGCTGCATGATGGATCTTGTAGTGGTCAAGAAGGGAGGGTGGGGGGGCTGAAGCCCAGCTTGCAAACAAACCCGCTTTCTTGGGGTGGGGGGTGGGGCGGAAAAAAAGAAAAAGCCAGCCAATCAATTGGAATAGACTGGGAAAGGGGCCTTGGAGGTCTTCTAGTCCAACTCAGGCAGGAGACCCCAGACTGTTTCAGACTGCCCAGTCTCTTCTGAAAAGCCTCCAGGGATGGAGCAACCCACAACTTCCAGTGGCAAGCTGTTCCACTGGTTAATTGTCCTCGCTGTCAGGGAATTTTCTCCTTAGTTCTAGGTTGCTTTTCCCTTGTTTAGTTTCCATTCATTCTCTCTCTCTCTCTCTCTCTCTCATTTTCTGTCTATCTATCTATCTATCTATCTATCTATCTATCTATCTATCTATCTACCTACCTACCTACCTACTATATTATCTCCATCCATTCCTCCCTTCCAATCTATCTATCTATCTCCATCCATCCATCCCATCCATCCATCCATCCATCTACTGTATCTATCTCCATCCATTCCTCCCTTCCTCCCTCTGTATCTCCATTCATCCATCCATC